AGGGAATTATTGATAGTTAATACATTACAGAAGAAGTCAGCTTCATGGCACTGCACTGTCTTGCCCGTGGCAAACTGGATGGAGCTCAAGCTCATGCACTCACATCTGGGAGCACTGAGGAGATTAAGCTTTGATCTCCTAAACGAGGGAGAACAAGTGTGGGATAATTACAGTATAGTGCATATATATTATTTTCATTGATTTTATAACTAAATGTCTTGATGTGACATTCCTAGATTAGTTCCAAAATGAAATGGAATGCTACTTTTTCTAATGTTAAACTAGAACAGTTTCTCAGGAGATCAAGTCCCTGAGCCTTCCTTCTGGGGTCTTGGTGCCCCATCTAAAGTTCTGAAGTAGAACTGTGACTGACCATAGCTGTGGATTTAGGAGCATGATGCTGCTGTAGCTACTGTGAATGCATAACATCTATTGAACTCTGTGGGAGTTCAGTGTGTGCAGACCTGTTGAGAGAAATTTGGGCCCCTGATACATCACATTCACAAGTCCCATTTCACCCCAGTTACAGATATTTTGTGGGGATTTGTGCTCAGGGTCCTGGTACAATTGTCCCCCCCCATCCCCACCCCCTCATCAGTCCATGGTAAAGTTTGGATATCCTTGACTAAAAATTTAGTAGCCAGATTTGAATTAGTGACCCTGGAGGTGATGAGCTCTGAATCCCCTGCACAGTTTGGTCCCCAGTATAACACCTTTATGGTTTGGTTTCTGTTGCTTTTAATCTTGACAATTTTAGGCTTCAAAGTTGTGGGGAATTGTTACACAACAAAAGAATATTTGGTCTGAGAGATTGGCATCCTGTAATTTTAAGGGAGCCTCCAATACTTTTCTCTTTGTAATCTTAAATCTCCTCTTATTGGCTACATAGAACCTATTGTAGCTGGTGGGCCACAAATTTGTCTTATGCAGAAGGTTTTAGGCTCACAAGTTTATCCATGTGGGATCAGTCTCTTACAAGAATAATTCAGTGTACAGTATTGAATTTTGCAATAATCCCAGTCTCTCCTGAGACATTCCTGTGTGTGCCACAAATGTGAGAAAATCTTCCGTAATTATTGTATTGTTGCACCCAATGCACAACTAGTTTTTCCAATAAATGGACTTTGCAGCCCTGGTGTCTAAATAGTTACGATCAAGAAAAGAAGAACAAATTAAGATGGTTCCAATTTTTGGCTTGCCAACCTTGACAATGTCTCTCTAAGATTTCATTAATTTCTATTCTTCTATAACTCTTTTAGCGAGAGGACTGGATACTTTGCTTGTTTGAGTTACTCATAAGACACTGGACCAGGTTCTGAGTCGAGTCGCTGGGCTGTGCTACATTACACTTTCTATCCACTGTGTCAAGCTGTCAATTCAGTAGCTCAGGAGTATTGATACATAGTCTCATTTCTGCCATTCTCCTTTTTTCCTGGGCATGTCCTGTATGCTGAAGGGTGGCATAGCATAAGTACTGGTATAGTGGTTTCTCACCACCAACGGATTCCACTGTGCAGAGGAAATTCTCAAGAGGCTGGATCAGCTGCCTTAAAATCTGCTTTATACCAGTAGAACGGCACAAAGCAAACAGGCCATGGGGAGTGTCTGACTTACTATCTAACTCCTCTACTCTCATAGGCCTTGGCTACACTTGGCAATTCACAGTGCTGTCGCGGCAGCGCTGTGAAGTGCGAGTGTAGTCAAGCTCACTCGCAGCGCTGTAAGTACTCCACCTCTGATTACACTGGCGCTTTACAGCGCTGCACTTGCTGCGCTCGGGGGGGGCGTTTTCACACCCCTGAGCAGCGCCAGTGTAGCCAAGGCCATAGTGCAAAATAAGATCTTTGTCTGAAGCAGTTCTTCACTTTCTTCCTCTTCTCTAAAATTGGAAGCAAAAAACTGTATTGACAAATCTGCTACTTCTCTATTCTTTCTTTCTAATTCATTACTAATACTTCTTAGTAGACAGCATTTGCTTGATATTTTTATCTACTGCAATTCTCTCCAATGTCATCAGTTTTTCTTCTTGCTTTTAACTTCTGCTTATTTCTAAAATATAGATTTCCAAATCGTTGTCCTCACCAGATTTTATTTATATTTTTGAAAAGCCTTCTGTTTAGCCGTTATTGCTTTTTATATTAAAGTCTAACCACATTAGTTTCTGTTGCTCTTTTGTCTTGCATAAAATTAACTGGGATGAATTTCAAATGTGGCTTATCCAACTGTTAAGTATTTCCCACTTTTCTGCAATAGATTTCATATACTCTATATTATAGAATTCCAAACCAAAATCTGTTGGACATATTGCCTTAAAATTTACCTTAGTCAGAAATATTGGGTTTTTTTTTTATTTTTTTATTTGTAAAGTGCCAAGTGGATATTTGGATCACTATCTCCAGCATGGTTCCTAGTTTCAGATATATCCTATTTTTTAGGATTAAATTAATTATGGTCTATATCAGGAGTCTCAAACTCAAATGACCATGAGGGCCACATGAGGACTAGTACATTGGCCGAGGGCCTCATTACTGACACCTCCCCTGGCCACCCTTCGCCTCGCCCCCACTCCACCCCTTCCATGAGGCCCTGCCCCCGTTCCAACCCCTTACTTGAAATCCCCACCCCAACTCTGCCCCCTTCCTGCCCCCAGAGAGGGCAGGAGGGGTGTGGTGGGGGCTCAGGGCAGGGAGTTGGGGTGTGGGGTGCAGGAGGGGTGTGGGGTACAGCAGGGGGTGTGGGGTGCAGGAGTGGGTTGGGCTGCAGGAGGGGCGCGGGGGGTGGCTCCGGCCCGACATGCACTGGGGGCAGGGCAGGCCACCTGCCTGCCTGCCTGTCCCCGCACCGCTCTGGGAAGTGGCCGGAACCTGGGGGAGAAGGGGCACAGGGTCTGTGTGTTGCTGTTGCTTCAGGCACCACCCCCAGCAGCTCCCATTGGCCGGGAACGGGGAACGGCGGCCAGTGGGAGCTGCTGGGGGCGCTGCCTGAAGCAAGAGCAACACAGAGTCCTGTGCCCCCCCGCTTCCCCACGTTCTGGCTGCTTCCTGGAGCGGCAGGGGGCAGGGCAGGTAGGGAGCCTGCCCTTCCCCCGGTTCGCGTCGGGCTGGAGCCGCTCTAGGTAAATGCTGGGGGGGAGTGGGGGAGGCCACGAGGAGCTCGCGGGCCGCAGAAAACAACCCCATGGGCCGCATGCGGCCCTCGGTCCCTGTGTTTGAGACCCCTGGTCTATATGTAACAGTAAGAAATTTAAGATTCCTCTTTGTGAGGAAGTGAAAATTAAGAAAAAAACACGTGCATCCTTCTGAGTTGGGTACTGCAAAAAAAAAAAAAA